AGATGGCAGAAACAGGGGGTATAGAAGCACCTTTGGCAGACAGACAAGGCAGAATTGTTTCCTCCCATTACCTTAACACAGGCAAGCTGAGATTTTTTTTCCTGATATTCAGCCAAGATTTTCCCTTTCTTAACGTCCTCCCCTGGCTTCCAGTTGTGTCCCCCATGTCAACTCTCTGCTCTTCGGCAGAAATTTATGGGCAGTTACTAGGTCTCCAGAGGATGAAGTACAGAATAGCTAGGATGTCTTATTACTGTCCCGGAGATGTAAGTTCAAGCCCTGCGCTGGGCTTGTGAAGGCTGTCTTGGGTGAGATGGCTATATCAAGGGCATGCCCCTGCAGTATAATTTTAGGGTGTCACAAGGGTATTGAGGAATGAGCTTGGCGAGGCTGAATCCTGGGAGAATTTCCTCTGCCTCTGGGAATCATTGCCAAGAAGGGTTTGAAGAGTTTACATATGGCATTGCAGTGACGCAGATGCTGGGCTGATGTCAGTGCAAGTCTCTGGAAAGGCTTCCAGGACCACTAATGGGCTCAGTGTCAGGCGTATGCATATCAGGAGGGGTTAACCAAGGCAGCAGTGAGGGCATGGAAAGCATAAGCGTGTGGGATTGGAAAGTGCATCGTAATGAAGCAATTGATGCTCTGCTACCACTTAATAGGGGCTTCACTGTCTGGCAGTGCTAGGGAAGCCTAACAGCCCAGCATTGTCTCCTCTGAACTGCTTGACTTTCATTTCATGCCTGACGTCTTCGCTTTACCCTTGGCCCATTCCATACAACAACTGCGAGATTGTGGTGCAAATGTCACGGGGGTGACCCTCCCGTTTCAGGAAGGTCCCCACCTGGCCTGATGCCGTCGCCTCGGCGGCTGGGAATGCCCGTGTCAGCGTCTTGCATGAGACGTTTTTTCTCTGATTATTTGGCTTCTTCCTGGCTCCTCTGGGCTTTCCTGCGTCACTGGCAGGAGAAGAAAGGACAGGCGGCATGGGCACCGTGAGCTGCATTGACCACTGCCTGAAAAGCACTCGCCCTTGCGTGCTGGCTTGGGAAGGAGGGGTAGTCGCTGGGGGTTCGACAGTGGGACAGCGTGGCTTGTACTCCAGAAAAAAAGATGAGATTAGACCGTCGGGAGTCCTGAGTTCATTCCCTACCTCTGCCGGTGGCTCCCTGTGTGAGCACTTAAGCTGTTAGTTCATTGCATTGTGCCTCGGTTTACCCCCTGGACCTCAATTTGATGGAGATGCTGCACCTCACTGATTCCTGATTTCAAAGCGTTTAGAGAGCCTTGACTGAAAGGTAATATATGATGCAGTTTATTATGAGCAGTAGCATTGCTGGGTGTGCCACGGGCTCCTGCCAGCGTTGGCCTGCAGATAGGAGCCTGGAGCAAACGTAAACCATTGGGCTGTGTGTTCACGCAGCTTGTGTCGGGTCCCCAGTGGGCGTCTGCTCCAGGTCCCACCTGCAGAGTCCCGCTCTTCAGTCCAGCATGGAGAGACTGATGCCTTCAGCTCTGGTCGGGTCCCTGCGGTGCCAGCCACGTTGGCAGCTGTCACAGCCGCCCACTGCTTTTGACTCACGGGGGCTGCAACCGCAGAATTGAATCTGTTGCACATCCCCGGGCACCGGTCTGCTCATTTTCTCCTGTGCCAGCTTTGGAACGAGGACACCTCCGACCTGCCAACTTAGCCTCTTTTCAAGCCTGTTTCTCTGCGGTGAGATTGACACGTCACTCCTCCCCGCAGAGTGAGGAAAAGCGCTTTCTGCCAATTTCTGGTTTTATTGTGACTTCCTCCTCCCGCACGTTCCCCATCGTCTCCACCTGGTGCATCCAGGCACGTCTCCAGGCGGCTTTGCTCCCAGCCTGTGAGCACCTGGCACGACGGCACTGCGATATCCTGAATGGGGCTTCTGTAGAGATGCTAATGGCAGTGTAAATCCCAGGGCAACTCCACTGGCATTTTACGCAGCCCTTTAAGCTAGCGGTCTGGAAAATGCCAACTCTCCAAGAGTTAACTTCCCAACTGAGCCGTGAGAAAGCTTTCTGCAGCAAGTTGCAGTGGCATGACTCATGCAGGGCCCTGGCAGCATCTGAAGTGCTGGGACACCAATAGGTGTAGAGGAAATCTGGAATCTCCTGGCAGCAGCTGTGACTATCTGGACAAAAGATAAATCCTAGCCGTGGCCTTACATGGCCAGAATCAAGAAACTGGCCCCAGGCACTCTGCTCCAGAGCCAGCCCCATGCACGCTCCCTCCTCGCTCTCGTCGTTGGTCAGTGCAGAGGCTGTTTCCAAAGCAGTCCGTTCGGCACGCTCTGCTCGGGGCAGCATGTTTCAGATGCCAGGGGACATCAGCCGTGCAGTCGCGCTGATGAGCTTCCTTTCTTTCAATGCCCTGCCTCATACCCAGCCCTTTGCAGAGGAAGCCTGGGCCCTTCCAAAGACTGGGAGAGCGAGTCTTCACCAGGGCACCCCAAGGGAAGACAAGGTCTAATAGTCACAAACTGCAGGAAGACTGTTTTAGACCGGACATTAGGAAAAACTTCATTATAGTCTGAATCTCCAGAGTCTGGAATAGACTCCCCCCACCCCCGAAGTGGTGCAAGCACCTGTCTTAGCTACCTTCAAGAAACGTTTGGATGCTTATCTTGCTGGGGTGATCTGACCCCAGTTGACTTCCTGCCCCTTGGAGGTGAGGTCCTTTCCAGCCCCAATGTCTATGAAACCACGTCTGTCCCATCACTAGTGTAACTAGGCCGGGGCAAGGGGTGTACCCCGCTCCCCTCCCTGCCAGGTGCCCTTGCTGGAGCCTGCTGCTGTGGGGGAAGCCCTGATCTGCCCCTGCCCAGGTAAAGAAGCTAGGCAGGGCAGTGCCGTGCCAATCAATGTGTCTTGGGAGGGGCAAGGGGGTGAGTGGAGCAAATAGACTGGCCCTTCCCTCCTGCCCTTTACCCCCACCCCAGCCTTTGCAGTGGCAGAAGGAAACCCTGCATTGCCTCTGTCGGTGCAGAGGAGTTGGGCAGTGCAGGCCACACCAGTGTATTTGGAGGGGAGGTTAGTGGGGTAAGCGGAAAGGTGCTCCTGCCTCTACTGTGGTCAGCATACCCTTGCCACCTCCCTGCTGCCCCAGGCACTCAGTGAACTCCCGACGCTGCTGTCTCCAATGGGCCGTGTGGGGCCGAGGAGCCCTGGTTGCACTGCACACTGTGCTGGTCGCAAGGACACAAGCACATCTCTGCAGAGAGGTGCTTCCCCCTTGCAACAGCCACGATCAAGCAGCTTTGTCTCAAAGATGATGCAAATAGAGGACAAGCAGGGAAATTCATACCAACCTGGTCCTGTCATGGGCAGGTCCTTTTTCTGTCTGGCAAAGCACCTTTGACTCCCATGAGTTTCAGTGGGGAGTCGAGGCTCCTCAGTGCTGTGTAGGGTCGGGCCCTTAGCACATGTATAAGCTAAGGTCAAACCTAGGGAGGAATAAATACTTTCGGTCCAAATTGGGCCTCACCCCCCCCAACCTTTTGCTCATTTTGGGACCCAACTAAACCCATACACGTACATGCACATGGGCGTGTGTGCACGTGTGTATCACACAAAAAAATTACTTGAAAAAGAATTGGTAAGTTTGCACTCAAAAGTTCGGAAAAGTCAGGAATAAGTGCCTCTGAGATCCTTCACTCTTGTACTAAGTGCTACACTTCCTCTGTCAACAAGACTCTGAAGAAACAGGAAATGTCTGCTGCAGGAAAAAGATGGCCTCAAGGGTTTGGAAAGTCCTCAAACTCTTGGAGCTTTTCCAGTCTAAAGCCTAGGGCTTGACCCACTGTTGGACTCTCTGCTCCCTGCTAAGAGAGACAGGACCACCCTCTATCACAGTCTCAGATCTGTGTTCTCTTCGCTGAACCATTCGTGGAAAGCTGTCTGCAGAAATGTTGCATTGGCTTAAATCTTAAATCATGGCCAGATTGGACACAGAGGGAGAAATCAGAATAACATTTGGCAAGTGTTTACAAACTGGATAACAATCACTAGGAAGGAACTCAACACACTTGAGGCCTGATTCAAAGTCCATTGCAGTCACTGGAAATGATCCCACTGGACCACTCCCATCTCACCAGCTGGAGGGATGATGAGAGATCCTGCTGCAATGGGTCAAGTTGTTTGCAATTACTGTACATCATTGGCTTCAATGTGGAACCAAGAGGGATATAGCACTCAAATTTGGTGGGGCTTTTCAGTCTCTCTCCCAGTTTTCTTTGCATAGGAACCCCCAGCATAGAGCTATTTCCATGAGTGGTGATTACCTAGCTGTCAATCTTTGTGATAGACACCTACATGTATTCTCCCATGCTGTCCCCTAAACTGTTCCCTGTAAGTGTCTCTGCAAATCCATTACATTATCCTCCTCTTAATCTATATTTAAAATCCACCTACAGATGTCAGTGCCTAGAAGAGCCTTGGTAATGACTAGGCAGTGGGGGCCAGACACTATTCAATCTATTCAGCATGTAAGTGGCACTGTACACCTAAGTGCAACACTACGGCACCCTGCGTCCCTGAAAGCCAGTTAATGCAAAAGGTGGCTAGATCCTCCTCCACGCAGCTTTTTTTGTGACTCAGTCTCAAGAGCCAGGCAATGGCGTGTTACAAAAGTAGAGGCATTAATGGATCTTCAGAGACATGAAGAAGGTGGAAGAGAATCACACTTAGGTGGCCAAATTTATTTAAATGCCCGTTCGGTTTCTATGATGTTCTCCTATTCCACCACTCACCGTGCTTCCCCTGTGCTCCCCTGTCAGTGAGTTTATCCAAATATTGTCTCTTATCCTACTCTTCTTTTGCAGGCTCTTTGGGGCAAGAGCTGTCTTTTGTGCAGTGCTAAACACAACAGAGCTTCCCCTCAAGGCACTAAAGCAATATAATCACCATTCAAAAGAGCCAGGCTTACAGTCATTAAAGCAGTAACATTTGGACTTATTCTCCATGCTTTCTTCCAGACCAAAGAAGCCCTCTTCACCATCCTTCAGGACCTTCGGCCTGAGGACCACTTCAATATTATTGGGTTTTCCAACCGAATTAAAGTCTGGCAGCAGGACCGTCTGGTGCCGGTCACTCCAAATAATATAAGAGATGCCAAGAAGTACATTTATAAAATGTCACCTAGCGGAGGTAAGAGATGGAGATATAAATGGGCTTGTTTTCTTTTACGCAGTTAACGACGCCTTTCAGAAGAAAGATCTCGCCAGTTTGCCCAGTGTAGTTTTCAAAGCGTAGATAAAATTGGCCTTGGCCTGTTGCCACTGAAGTTTCTGACATCCAAGGGAGCACATTTAGCCAACATTGAATATATTGGAAAGTGCCACTCTGCTCTCATAAGCTTCCCAACTAATCACTCCCAAAGTGTGCTCATATGGTGTTGGCTCTTGGATCCAGCTGCTTGACAGCATTAAGAGACAGCTAAAATACATATAAATACATATACTCTTGTCATTTATCCTCACAATTGCAGTGCCTGCTGCTGGGGGGAATTGCTCCTGTGATTGGGATGGAAGGGGAGATGGCGAGCGCCATGACCTCTCCAGCAAGTTGTAGTGCACAACTTTGGGAACCCCGACAATCTAATAGTCTTCTTGGGTAACCAAACTCCCCATGAAACACTCAGATCCCCGGCCAAGCCTGCTGTACAAATCCCACCGCAAATTCTTATGAAGACTTTTGAAATTTGAGTTAGCTAAAGGTTTGCAAGGGTTTCCTGTGCTTCTCCTTCCCTTAAACAATGTCCGTTCATTCTTATTGAGGGCTGGAAAATGAGCAAACAGGATGATCAGCTACGCTGTTTGCATTGTGAACAAGAGTCTAGGAAGAGGGCGAGACCCACCCTGCTAAACAGTTACCAAAGGTGGGACTAGGACCAATTGAACAAAGCCATAAGACCACCATTCAACCTGCCAGCTGAGCTTCTGTTGAATAGGCTTAATTAATAACAAGCCAAAAAGAGAGGAAATGATTAACTGCACGTTGAACTCTGGAGTTCAACAAAGACCAGTGTACTGCTTGCCCCGTTCTGGGAGGGCACTGCTTCGTTTGGCTTCTTGGGTGGAAGCAGATATTGGTGGGGGGTGAGAGGTGGGGGCAATTCCTCCTTGGGACGTGGGTGTGAGGACATGCACCCATCCACTCACACACTAAAGCAGACAAGTCTTTGCCTGAAAAACAATTTGGGAGGGGGGGGATTGCCTTCGGGGTTCAGTTGCACCTCTGCTAGATTGCTGCTTGAAAGGACAGTATCAAAGCTACAGGGGTTGTTTTTTCACTGCTTTTAGGAATGCATATGAACATTTGAGTGTGGCATTTGAACGCCAGAGATTTGCCAGTGTTTGGCTCTAGGGACACGATTTGACCTGTTATAAGGAGGTTCTAGGTTTAGAGTCCCAACTCCTAAATTGCAAAAAAGAGATTGAGGAATTTGGTTTTCAGGCCATATTATCTAATATCTTTTACCTTTCTTTTCTACCCCCTTTATCTCTTTTTTTTTAAGTTCATACATGATGTACATGTTCGTAGACATATCTGCTGAAACAGAGACAAGCCTCCTGTTACAGCACGCTCCCCTGCTGGACGCTCACCCGGCTGTTATGTCTAGGTCCCGATACACTAGACCCATCCACTTAAGTTTCCTGATGCTGAATGAGCTCCAGTGCGCTCTTCTTTTCTCTTGGCTTTTGTGGCGCACAGATTTACTGTGTAACCTTTCACAGAAATGGGACCTCAGGTATAGCTGCCCGACATCTCCAAGTTCAATGCTCCTTTGCTCCCATTCACCTCTGCTGTTTAAGCACACACTTTTCCACAGCTCCAACCTAGAGGACATCTGGTATTCCCATTGACTTCTCCAAGGACTTGTGATAGTTCAGGTATGTAGCGCAAAGGCTACAAAAGTCCATCGCTTTTTACTTTAGCTACCACAAGAGATATACAAAGCCAAGTAATACAGTTTAACCACCTGTATGCTCATTTTCCTTATTGTTCTTGAGTATCGTGAAGACCTAGTTCACAATTCTTCGTGTAGTCCCAAGTGACCTCCTTCCAAATCATAAGAATATGCCATTTGTTGCATCATGAGAATATACCATTTATGGGGTCAGAACCCCTTTATTCGGTCAAAACCCAACCCAAGAACTGCCATTGACTGGATCAGACCATAGGTCCAGTTGTCTGTATCCTGTGTCACACAGTGGCAGAGGGCGGATGCTGAAAGGGAGAGGGGACAGGGGTTTTTCCACACTGTTCCTCTCTCACTTGCAACCTCCATCATTGAGTTTTTTCCTTTTACTTCTACAGCTATGTCTTTCTTCCTCGTTTCCCCCCACCCCCTCAGTTTAAAAGGACTAGGAAAGGATTCCACCTGGGAGTCCCCCCAAATTTT